AGGTTTCAGTCCTTCCACAAGGGCTGAACTCTGGCTTTTGGAAATATAGATTTCCTGAAGCCAGCAGTACACTAGTCCCACAAGAGGTTCCGTGGGAATAGGGTTCCTCAAACAGGTGAGTCTGGGAAACTGTATACTGTATTCCTCTCTGGGAGATTCATAATGCACAATTAAAAACAGTCATCTATGGCAGTGGAAGTGGCACCAGACTAGCGCTCCTGCCATAAACAAGTGCAACACTGTGACATACCGATAAAGGTAGAGGACGACAGACAGCACGAGACCGCAGGCCCTGAGATGGGGAATTTCAGAGTGAGCCCCTGATTTCCCAGCTCTGTCTAGGAACAGTTCCCCAGGCAAAACATGGCTCTTGGCTGAGACAAAGAAGCAGAGATCAAAGATTCTGGCAGCTCGAATGTACAAGACAGGCACTGGAGAGAAGGGTGGCTGTGCAGAGAAGAGGCCCCAGAAGTCCACATGGGGATCCCCTGTTATCCATGGCTCAGGGCATGGGACCAGCCCACCAAAATCTTGCCAGATAGCTGTGCTGGGGGATGATGGAGCTCCAGCCCTGCCCCGGCAGAGATCTGATCAACACCCATGGCATCCAGTTAGATACCAAAAAGGCCTGGCCTTGGGAGTCAGGACCACAGGCTCAGATGAGACATATTCTAAACCACCCTGATAAAGCCTGAGATCATGCTTCAACATGATCCCCAGGAGAGGCAGTTTGGAGGTCGATTCCCACTGAGTTGGTGGGCTTGGGAAGTGCTTGGATTTCCTAACAAAGTGAGAGCCCAGGCCTGCAGAGACTGAGGGTGATCTGCAGTAACTGGACTGCCTGTTAGAACAAACAATCAATGGGCTGAGCCCGTGGCACACTCGAGTGCGGCGCTGGGAGCTCCCGCCGCGGATTCGGATCCGACGTAGGGATGACCGGTGCGCTCACAGCGCTCACTGGCTGAGCGCCGGTGCAGCAGGTCTCAAAAAAAAAAAAAAAAAAGAACAAACAATCAACACTCTTCAGAGAACCCAGAGTGTCCACTATTCAATCCAAAATCACTAGATCTGCAGTCAGGACAAGAAGAGTAGTCATGAGAAGCCAAACCCTCGGGTTTTGGTCACGAAACCACTTTAAAGAACAACTTCTCCTCTTCCTCCTCCATGGTTATAGTTATCGTTGCCGTTGTTATTGTGTCCTCTCTGGGCCTGGAGGTGGACCGTGGCCCTCATGTCCCTCCTTACCGCGTGCAGACTGTCCTTCCTCCCTCAACACCCGCCCCACCGCGCAGCGGCTCCGGGGCTCCCACTGGGCTCTGCCGCTCTGATGCTGTCCGCTCTCGCTCCCCGGAGGACTTCAGAGTTCCACTCGCTGTCCAGCTCTGATGCTGTCCCAGTTCCTGATTTCAGTACCCACGCAGTGACCTGGCTCTCAGTTCCTGACCTCTGCACTTTCCGGGAAGCTACAGTGATCTCTGCCACCACACCTCAGACACCCACGCCCCGATCGTATCCATAGCCCTGTCATTACCAACACGTGCAGCCTTTCCAAAAGCTTCGAGCTCCCCGGCTGACATCTGACCAGCTCAGGCGCTCAGTGACCTCCAGCAGTGTTTCCTCCGCGTTGGCCCTGCCGCCCTAGCATGGGAGCAGCACGGTTAAACCCAAGCGATTACATACAGCTGGGAGAGGAAATAAATGAAAAGATGTCACGTGAGTCCTTAATACTGCCTGCAAGTCTGTCTTCATGTTCTGAAGGTTACCGTTTCGTGTCTCTTCCTCCTTCCTCGGCAGCTGCTCCGTCCCTTCTCTCACCAGTGTCCTTGCTGATGGTCTGTCTGAGAAGACTGAAGCAGTTGGAACAGAATCACCCACCCCCATGCAAGCGCACAGACACGCACATGCACGAACTCACGCACATGCACGTACGCACGCACTCGCACGCACTCACACACGCACATGCGCGCGTGCGCACACATGCACGCACGCACACACGCACATGCACGCACTCACACACATGCACGCACGCACACAGGCACACACGCACAGCCCCTTCATCTGCACCCTCAAATGACAGTGGATGAAGGCCGTTCTGAGGCCAACCATAGCTTTCATTCAGGGATGTTGCTCAGTTGCTGTCCCCTGCCTCTCAATTGTCTCCTCTACAAACCATTTCTGTCACCACAGCAACATGCTGCAGTGCTGCCCTTACCCCAACCCCCACCCTCCCCAGCTGCCACCCCCAGCACTGCTCCCCATTACAGCCACCCGCCCGAAGTTTGTCTAGCCCATCTGCCTCTGTCCCCTCACCCCCCACCCTCTTTCTTGAACTCTCCAGTCAGGCTCTCGTCCCCACTACCCAGGAGTGGTGATCACCAGCAGTGTGACCCACCGGCCAACACCCACTCCAGAGCATGGGTGCCCTGGCCCTGCCTGTCTTTAAGGAGTTTTGAATACCACTTCCCCAGTGGACACACGGCCAGGCTCAGTGTCTCCTTCATCCGTCATCTCGCTCCTGCCTCTCAGCAGACACATTTGATTGCTCTGCTCTTCTTGGAACGCTTTCTTGACTTAGCTTCCAGAATATCTGTGTCTCTCTCTCCCTGTCCCCCAGTTCTGCTGTCACCTTAGTCGCTCATTCTTGGTCATCTTTGCCGGTTCCTCCTCAATTTTTTGCCACCCATAAGTCATGGGAGTGCTCTGGGATTCAGTCCTCAAGCCTTCTGTTTCCTCTCTCCCTAGCAAGCCTGTCAGTATTACAGCTTTAAACACCAGAGATATGCTCGTTGCGCCCAAACTTCTGTTTCCAGCTACAGTGTCTTTCCTGGACTCCAGATTCATGGATCCAGCTGCCTGCTCAGCATGGGCATCATCGGGTGTCTATCTGCCACCCAAACATGCTGTGTCTGAGCCTGGACTCCTGAGCTTCTCTCCCCAACCACCTCCATTCTGCTCAGTCTCAATAAATAGTGGCTCCGTCCTTCCAGCTCCTTAGGACAGAAACCTTGGAGTCATCCTGTATTTCTTTCCTCCTCTTAGACATTTACATCCAACCCGCTATCTAGCCTCTACCTTCAAGATACACCCAGAATCCAGCCTCTGCTCACCTCTGCCCCTACCACCCTGGCCAGGCCGCTGTCATTTCTTACCTGCGCCATTAGAAAGTCTTCCTAAATTGCAGCCTACAGTCTGCCCTCCATGTGAGAGTGACCCACTTAAAACATAGAAGCCCCCATGGGCTTCCGCTTCACTTAGGAATGAAAGCCAAGGTTCCTCCACGCACCCAAGCTGCCCCCAGCCTCTCAGCCCCCGCCCGCCACCACCCTCGCCTCCCCCGCCCTGCCCGCTGCTGAATCACAGCGGCTGGAGCCGAGCCGGAGCACGGCAGATTCCCAGTGAATCGATGTGGAAGAAACCATCGCCCCAGGTGCGGTGTAAGGACTTTGTGAGCAGTGGGACCGGGAGGCTTTTCCAAGGAGAGTTGTCCCAGTGCCCCGTTCGGTGCGGAGCCCTCCGTAGCACTCCCTCCAGGTGACCTCTCCTTGCCTTCCCTTCCATGTGTGGACACTTGTGTATGTGTGTCGTGGCTTCTGTGGAAGGTGGGTTGAGATCTGTCACCTGGTGACTTTCACCCGGTCCTGCCTATCACAGGTTCACAGACTTGTCCAATCGCTTCTTCAGGAGCAGCCCCTGCTCTTCCTGTCACTGTCCGCAGGGCAGGCTCTGAGGCCCAGCATCTCCGAAAATGTCATTTCTGTGCAGGACATGGTTGAAACGGGTCAGACCAACAGGGTTTGCAGCTGGTCCGGTCCCCCTTGTTCTGGTTTCTGCAGCTGCTGCTCAAGCTCACAGCATCTTTGCCACCTGCCCCTCATTTAGAGTTTCCATCATCAAAATTCCTGGTGTGCCACCTCCGGCTTGCACAGAGCTCTTCGCAGTCAGTGCCATCAAATCAGTAGCGTGAAATCAGCCGCGGCAGGGATGCTTACACCATGGAAACTGTCAAGCACTACAAATCAGGGCTGTACTCAGGGAGCTGGTGGGTAGACATTTGCCAGCACACCACAGCCTGGAGCCCCAAGGCTCTTTCCCGCATGTGCCCCTCCCAGCCCTGCCACCTTCACTTGGGCAGAAAAGTGTCTTGTTGGTCTCACCTGGTGCTGTATGCGCTCAATGGGGGAGCTTTGTTGTCCCCAAAATTCATGCCAGCACAAGAGCCACATGGATTCGTTGGACCGGTGGGGGCCACAGGCACATCACACACAGATTAAGATCAGAGGCACTTCAAGGTCTCGTCCTGACGGTGCATTTGAGAAGGGAGAGAACTCTTCCTGCCAAAGGCAGTCCCCTCCAGGTGGACCTTGGCAGAGTCACAATGGTTAAATCTAACCTGCTTTGAGCCTGCAACTTGGACCTCTGAACCCTCCTCGTCAAGTTTTTATGTCCTGGGACATGGTGTTGGTGGGGTGAAATCAGCCATGGTGAGGTGTTCACACCACAGAAATCAGCAGTGGGGACGTCCTCATGGAACAAGCCACAGGGGTAGTTTACAGAAGAGTCGTGAGTTGTAGGTGGAGTGTTCTCTGACCTGCTGTGTCACAGCTGAAGCACACAGTCCAGCCTTGGGAGCATCTGCTGAGGACGGGTTTGTAGGAGATGGAACCAGGCCTGTGGATAGGGCGGCTTTGTAATCAGTGTTGTTTTGTCTTTTCTCTGCTGATCTCTATTTGGATTTGGCCCTGTTGTGGTGACGTGGCCCAGATTCAGGTGTGAACAGGTGCATTCCACTCAAGGTGCTGCTGAAAGGTGGCCAGGATGTACCAAGAGGGGACAGAAGGTTCCAGGAGGTGCCAGGAAGTCCCACCTCTGTCTCGCTGTCTTCTGCATGGGGAGGGCAGGGCGCCTCCCTGGCCTCCCTTTCAGATTTGAGGGCTGTGGGTGTGAGGAGCAGGGCTATCTGCTCTAAAACTTTTCTCATGTGTGCCTGTCTGTCCTTTCAGATGAATGACAATCTCCTCGAGAGCTGGAGTGACCTCGATGAGCTGAAGGGAGCCAGGAGCCTGGAGACTGTGTACCTGGAGCAGAACCCCCTGCAGAAGGACCCGCAGTACAGGCGGAAGGTCATGCTGGCCCTGCCCTCTGTGCGGCAGATCGACGCCACATACGTCAGGTTCTGAGTCCCCCCCTCCTCACCTGGTCCCTCTCCTCAAAAGAACTTCCAGCTACGGTTTTTTAATGCAGCTGTTGCTCCTGAAGTCGTCACTCTATTAACAGTCACAAACCCCATGGCAATAAAAAGGCACTGACACTAGCTAATGTGTGTGACGCCACTCACCACCTGAGAGGCCATTGCTATTAAATCTTGCCACAGTCTTCCTGGTCAGTTGTTGGCCGTTATTGTAGCTGTGGAGAGAACGTACCACACCTTGCGTTACTTCGCTGTTGACATCTATCTGTCTCCTGTCACACCTCAGGGAGGTCACACCTGAGCCGTGTGAAACAGTGGGTCTGAAAGTGCTGCCCAGGTGGGGGCTCAGAAACCTCAAGTCCTAGTTTGCAGCGTTGAAGCAGACATGACCTGCAGCAGCTGAGAGCTTTTTAGTCTTTTAGACCAGTCAGTGCCGATTTTGAAAGAATTATAGGTGTTGAAAAACTCTTGGGTAAGGGAAGACAGCCCCACGTGCTATGATCTTTAGAGCGCTCTTCTAAAGAGCTATGGCTGTGGGCCAGGCATGGTGTGCTGGCTGCTTTCCACACATGCTCACCAGTTCTCACCATAGCCCTCAAGGCAGGTCCGGTCATCACCTGTGGGTGAGAGCATGACCCATGTCCCACAGCTGTGTTATGCCCCTGGCAGAATGTGAGCCCAAGTGAGTCTTCAAAGACGTTCTCCAGAGATATAGACTCGACCACTTATGATATGACCCCCCATTCTTACCCCATCGTTGTTTTGGCTTTCTTAATAAAATCTACATTGACAGTCACCTGGGGCCTGAATTTAATGCTGCACAGGCACTGTCATCTCTCAGGGTCTCAGATTCCCCTTCAGCAGAGTGAGGACTGAGTCATGCTCACTAATGTCCCTTCTTCTGCTTCCAAGACTAGAGCTTCACTTTCCAGCACAGGAGACACTCGCTGTCCCACGTGGCTGTTTCAGTACAAATTCAAGCTCATTACAACGAAATGAAATTAAAAGTTAAGTTCCTTGGGCTATAGCCGGTGGGCTCAGGTGGTTAGAGCATGGTCCCCATAACACCAAAGTCCAGGGTTCGGTCCCTGCACAGCCAGCCGCCTAAATAAAAATAATTTTTTTAAAACGCTCAGTTCCTTGGTCGCACTCACCACACCCACGTGCTCAGCAGCCACGTCTCGCGGGGAGCCCATTTCCATCAGCACGGGAGGTTCTGCTGGACAGCACTGCTCCAGATTCTGTACTACCACTGGGACAGGCTGCCTTGGGAGCCAGGGAGTCGGTGTCAACTGCCAGGGAAGTGACAGACAACGTGGTGGTTGACCTGAGGCTTAAGGTCATGTCCTGTTCCTGATTGTAATCTTCACCAAAATAAGTCGTGTGACCCAAATCTATAAACCATCTACCTATTGAAAGGCAAACTTTTTATTTTTGCTTCAAAACATCCTTTCATAGTTGAGATTTTATTGGTTGTGATGAGGATAGTTACAGAGACATTTCAATGTGTGTACCGAAACTAAAAAGCCACGTACCGTGAATCTTTTTTAACGCTATTCCAGTGACTTTGCAGCTTCAAATTTGTGGGCAAATTTTCCTTAAGAGGATGTCAAGAACCAGTATCCCCAGATGTTGCTTAGCTGTGAAGTAAGTCCCACCAGCTCATAATTTCTTATCACACACACTACACACTCGAATGTTCAGTCATTGACAGCACATTAACAAAAATATTAGGAAAACTGGACCACACAACCAAAGATGTTACAGAGTGCGCTCCATCTGACGGGGGCAATGATTAAGGACTGGTTTTCTTTAGGAAACAGTTCTACTAAGAAACAGCATGGGAACAGGAGTAATTTTAAGTATTCAAAACATTAAATGCACAACTCTAATTCCAAATTGCCATTAGTGTGCTTTGCATTACAGGATACAAAAACTACCCCCGTCTACGGAATGTTAGGCTGACAAGACAGTCAAAGCCTCCCGTAGTTCAATATTCCACTCTTTTCTGGTTGTACCAAAAAGCAACCAGTGAATGATTTCACCTCTTAAAAAAAAATTTACACTTAAAAAATGGGATGAGGTGGGATTCCCTCCTTAAAAATGTTTCTAGACCTACTAAAAACTCGCATTTACGAAACAGGTGATAAAACTGTTCCTGTGGATTGTACGGGGTGGCAGGGACACTGATGCTGGTGTCTGGTGTCCGTCGGATGCGGCTTCCTTCCCTCGCCTGCGTCCGAGGCTGGCCTCCGCATTCCAGGGCCTCTGTTGCCTGCAGGTGAATCTTGTTTCCTGGTTGGTCACTTCGGCCTGTGGCCCCCTTGCCCCCTTTTCCCTTTTGTTTGCACTTTTTGTCTGAAGACTTGTCCTTGGCTGCTGCCCTTGGCTTCGTTTCCACTTTCGCGGGAGCAGGTGCAGCTGACGGCCTCGCGCACGTCCTCTTGGCTCTTCCGTCGCTGCACCCGTGGCGGGGCTGACCTTCCTCTGGGGCATCCAGGTGGCAGGGAGGGGCGGGGCGGGTGCCCGTGCTGGGCCGCCTGGCCGCTGCTGTTCCCGCGCCCAAGCTGCTGGGACCTGCCACAGGGGCCCAAAAGCAAACAAAAAGGAAAGATGGGCAGGTGGGGTGAGGCCCCAGAAAGAGTTCAGATGATGACCTGAGAGTTCTGCCCTCAGCCAAACACCGCTCATGTCTGCGGACACGAGGTACTTTTAGACACACAGGACTTAGGATTTGGGTGCTCTTGCTGAAAAAATTAGAAGAGTCCTTTGCCCAAACAAAAATATGAATCCAAATAAAGAACTAAAGAAAGAGAAAGATTTCATTTAAAAGCAACAAGCACCGGGCCGGCCCGGTGGCGCACTGGATAGTGCGCCGCTTGGGAAGCGCGGTGGCGCTCCCGCTCGAGGGTTCGGATCCCACATACAGACCGGTTCCCGCTCACTGGCTGAGCGAGGCATGGG